AATTTGACTCAGTTGGTATAATATTTGCCTATTCTGCATGAAGTCCTATGTTTCATACCAAAGTCTAGGCATTTGGCTTACACCTTCCATTCTTTCTTCCTGAGAGAGACAGAATGGAGCCGGGCGGTGGTGGTGTACGCCTTTAATCCCAGCACTTCACAGCAGAAGCAGGTGAATTTCTGAGTTCAAGGCCAGCCAGGTCTACAGAGTAAGTTCCAGGACAGCCAGGGCTACACAGAGAAACCCTGTCTCGAAAAAAAACCAAAAAACAAACAAACAAACAAACAAAAAAGGAGAGACAGAATGGAACCAGGCAGATGCAGACCCACAGAACAGCCATAAAGAGAAAGCACAGACCTATAGGTATTGTATCATAGCAATTTCCTCCCAGTTGAAACATTCTGTCCTGCAAGGGAGATTCCTAAGACTCAGAAAGTAAGCAACTCACAAGTCTTGGGAAGTTCCTGAAGCTTACCAGATTCACAGGTTATATAAATTAGGAATTGCTGAGGAGAGACTTTTCTACCTGTAGAGCTGTCTGGGTGCTGTGCAGAGAGCTCCAGGATTGCCAGTAAGCTTTTTGGTGTTGGAGTTAACTGTCCTTGAGCTATCCCTGCTCCTGTAGTAACTTCAATAAGCTCATTGGTTCATCAAGTTGGACTTTGGTGGAATCATTTCTCTGGTCTGTCATCTCTGACCATTGGTAGATATTTATCTACCATCGGTAGATATTTATTCACATTTTCCCAGGGAATTTCTCATGCAACAGGATCATGGATCCTGACTGATCCATGAGCAGGAGCAATGAGGCTGTTATTTGTTTGTTTATTTTATATGTATGTATCTGTGTTTGAGTATGTGCACTTGAATGTAGGTATCCAAGGAGTCTACAGGCAACAGATCCCTCTGGAACTGTAGTTACAGGTTATGAGCCACCCAGTGTTACTACTAGGATCTGTGTTACTACTTTGGCCCACTGCAAGAGCAGTATTTGCTCTTAATCACTGGACCCTCTCTCCAGATGTCTTAGTTAGGGTTTACTGCTGTGAACAGACACCATGACCAAGGCAACTCTTATAAAGGACAATATTTATTTGGGGCTAGTTTGCAGTTTCAGAGGTTCAGTCCATTATCATCAGCATCTAGGCAGCATCTAGACAGTCATGGTGCAGGAGGAGATGAGAGTTCCACCTCTTGTTCCAAAGGCAGTTAGACAACTGGCTTCTGGACAGTAGGACAAAGTATTAAAGCCCATGCCCGCAGTGACACATCTACTCCTACAAGGCCACACCTCCTAATGGCACCATGCCCTAGGCCAAGCATATACAAGCCATCACGCTAGTCTATGTTTTTTGTTTTTTTTTTGTTTGTTTGTTTGTTTAAGATAGTCTCAAGTACCTAAGGCTGACACTGGAACTTAAGTCTGAAGCTAGCCTTGAACTAATTCTCTAGTCTCCACTTCCCTAGTTGTAGGACTACAGCCAGCCTGATTCAGAAAGAAGGAGGGTTGCCCAAGATATTGTGAAACTATAATCTTTTCTTGGGGGGGGGTTGTTTGTTTGTGTGTTTGTTTGGTTTTCAAGACAGGGTTTCTCTGTGTAGTTCTGGCTGTCCTGGAACTCACTCTGTAGGCCAGGCTGGCCTCGAACTCAGAAATCCGTCTACCTCTGCCTCCTGAGTGCTGGGATTAAAGGTGTGCGCCACCCCTGCCCGGTGTGAAACTATAATCTTTTGCCATGGTGCTTAATAACAAAGATGATGTTAATCTGATGGTGACCAGAGCTTCGGAAAGGATGCCCTCCCAGAAGTCTTTTAAGCATAAGGGTACCACAGCCTCTGTGCAGGCTCGTGGCTCTGGTTCACTCTTTGGCATATAAAAAGACATAGCAGTTCAACAATTCCAAGAGCTTTAGGGGCTGTGTGCCAGAAAGCAGGATCAGGATCTGATAGGCATCACATATCTATTTCACAGGGGCAACTAGATAGGATGAATACATCCATTCCTAGCTGACTGACAAGGGCTCATCACACTGAATGCCTGTGGGAGTGCAGTGGGTAGGTGTTAAGGCACCCAGATGGCTCTTTATTCTCTGCAATATTCTTTACCAAGTGGTCTATGCCTTAAATTCCAACACTGGGGAGGACACTGTGAGTTTCAGGCCAGCTTGGTCTACAGAGCAAGTTCCGGGACAGTCAGTGTTGCATGGTGCGATGCGATCCTATTTTCTTTTCTTTTCTTTTCTTTCTTTCTTTCTTCCTTCCTTCCTTTCTTTCTTTCTTTCTTTCTTTCTTTCTTTCTTTCTTTTTTTTGTTTTTTTTTTTTTGTTTTTTTTTTGAGACAGGGTTTCTCTGTTTAGTCCTGGCTGTCCTGGAACTCAGGCTGACCAGGCTGGCCTCGAACTCAGAAATCCGCCTGCCTCTGCCTCCCAAGTGCTGGGACTAAAGGTGTGCGCCACCACCGCCTGGCGCGATCCTATTTTCAAAGTAGAAACAAAGTGAAACGAAGACACTCACATTCACTACTTGTGCAACGTTTACAAATAAAAAATAAATATGAGGGCTAGCAAATAAAAATAAGTATGAGGCACTTGCCATGCCTGATGTCCTGAGTTCAATCTTTGGGACTCGTTTAGTGGAAGGGAAGAAGCTACTATCACAAGTTGTCCTCAGATTTCCACACACATGCTAAATATAATGATAACAAATTAAAAATAGGGGCTTGAGAGATGGCTCGGTAGTTAAGAGCACTGGCAGCTCCTCCAGCACCCACAGGGTGGCTCACAATGATCTGGAACTTGAGTCCCAGTGAATCCAATGCCCTCATCTGGCCCCTGTGAGCACTGCACTTAGGCCACACACACATGCATGCAGGGCAAACACCCATATGCGTAAAAATAGTAAATAAAATGTTCAAAACACTTAACTAAAAATAATTGGAACCCCTGTTCCTGGTTTTTAAGCTCAACCCAGTCCCTTGCTGTTGGCGTGGCTTACTCCTGTGCCTGTCTGCTCCCTGGCAGTTTGGACCTGGAGCTGGCACTCCCAACGCTGACACTCCAGGGATCTCTCAACAATACTTTCTTCCTTGATGCTGCCTTGGTTCCTCATTTTACCTTGTCTTATCAGCAGATTCTATTTGCATTTCTGTAAGCTCGTTTCTGACACCTCTTCAACTATGCAGTAGCCTTTTGTTTATTTGCTTTGTTTGTTTTTGAGAGACTGGGTTTCTCTGAGTAGCCCTAGCTGGCCTCAAGCTCAAGAGATCCACCTGTCTCTGCTGGGATTAAAGGCGTGTGCCACCACTGTCAGCTACAACATTGTGTAAGCCACAGATATGTAGATAGACTGATTGGCTAACTGATTTCTGGTGTGATCTGGGATGAGAATGTTAATATGAGTAATTGAGATTGGAAAAAAATCACCTTGGCTAGATTACCAAGGTGTAGGCGGGATTATCTAGCATGCGTACTGCTGATTCCGCTCCGCCCTGTGGATTTAGTGTTATGAGATAAATCATGGAAAGATTCTAACCTGTTCATCTACGTTGTGGCTTAGAACTCAGAACGAGGTACATATGGGCAAGAGGAGACTGTTTCTACAACATTCAAGGACAGGTAGTAAGTACCAGGGCTGGCTGCTCCGCTCTGGAAGGTCCTGACCACACACAGCTTTGTGCTTTGGGGGAAATGCTGTGTTAGGTATGATAGCTGATGTCTGTGATCTCAGCGAGTGAGATTGTCCTGAGTTGGAACTGAGCATAGGCACTATATATAGTGAAGTTAGCAGGTAGGAGCACGTGTTCTTACATTGGACCAGAGTTTGGGTCCCACTACCCACACAGTGACCCACAAAGGTCTGTAGCTCCAGTGGGGAATGCCACACCCTCTTCTGACCGTCTCAGGCACAGCATTTACATGATGCACATACAAACATGCAGGCAGACAAGGATACAAAATAAAGATGAAAAAAATGAAAACAGTCTTCCAATCTACAAAGTTACAAAGATTTTCTCTTGTTTTTGCTTTTTTTTTCTAGAAGTTTTATAGGATCATAGTATAATAGCTGCTTCAAAGATTTCTCATGGGTATGGTGACACAGGCCTGAAACTCCATTCACAGGGATGAAGAAGCAGCAAGAATAGAAGTTCAAAACCCAACCCCCTCCATATGGTGAGTTCCAGAGACCAGCCTCTACAAGAGACCCTGTCTCAAAAACAAAATAAAAACAACAAATAAAAACAAAACCCCCCAGGAGCACTAAAGGTAAAACAGAGTTGGGGTGGGGGTTGGGGGGCTGGGTGTATTTATTGACCACCTACTGTTTGTGAGGCCTTTGGATGTAGCAAAACCTGACCAGCAGGAGTCCACAGAGGAGATAATGGAAGAAATAAGTACATAATTAATTATTGGATTAAGGAAAGGAATAGGGAGCTGTGGTGGAAGGGGAAGGGAATCTCAGGTCAGTTTTTTCCCAGCTTTTGCCTCCCTACAGCTCCTTCCAGGTGGGGGTGCGCATGCATGACGTCATCGGTGGACCTAAGCCGCAAGGTGGTTCTGGGGGCCCGAGGAGGCTCTGCAGATCTCTTAGAGAGGGTCATTCCTGTAGCCAGCGATTCAGCGACGCGTTCAGTGAGTCACTGTACTGGCAAACGGAGCCCCTTCCCTTTATTTGGGGAAATAAAAGAGGGTTTTTTTTTTCTTGATAGTGAAAGAAAAGAGGCAAATAAATAAAATAACGAAAAGAATTTCCTGAAGAGCTACGGCTCGGAGGGCTCCTAAAGGCGGGGACGCGTCTGCACTCTCTGTCCACACCCCAACCACGCGCTATTTGTAAAGAGGTCATCGGGCTAGCAGGGAGCGCGCCCTACACCCGGACCCCAGCAGCACGCGCATTCTGAGTGCGGGCTTCCGAGAGCTGCACCTGCCGTGCACGAACGCCCCCTGGCGGGCGCCCCAGCCAGCGCTAGTGGAGCGCAGGGGAGGGGGCGGGGGCGCCGCGCACGCGCACGGGCCGGCGGCGCGCGCCGAGCGGGGGGCGCCGCGCGGTGCAGCCACGATGGAAGGGGGTGCGTACGGAGCGGGCAAAGCCGGGGGCGCCTTCGACCCCTACACCTTGGTGCGGCAGCCACACACCATCCTGCGCGTCGTGTCTTGGGTAAGGACACAGCAAGGCGGGCTGGGGCGCGGGGCGCCAGGAATCCGCGCGACCTCACCTGGCCCGGGCGGCCCTGCTGACACAAGCGGATCCCGGCCCCTGCCACCGAGTTCCTCAGCCCCGTCGCCGAGACCTCCTGGCTGTCGCTGCTCTGCGTCTAGCAGCTCGGTTCGCTCGCGTCCGTGGGGACGGAGCCCAAGTTCAAGGCCGCTTATTGGGGGGCGCGGATCAGGGCGTGGATCTTTTTCTAGGGCGCACTGCTGCACCTGCCGCGCGCTTTCGGGGCGAGGACCGGGAACTAGATTTCGTTGCTCACCCAGTACGCTGCGGAGCTCTGAGTCTGGAGCCTTGGATACTTGGGTTCCGTCAAGACCCGCATCTGCTTTGCCGCGTGACCTTGGGCAGGGAACCACTCCAGAAAAGATCAGGGATACGAGGGATTCAGTTCCAAGCTGGGTGGGGAGCGTCACCTCTTATGTCATGCCTCAGTTTCTCGATTTATAGGGGTGGGAGGGGCCTTCTTGAGGCCCCTTTGGGCTCTGACATTTTATGAATCCGCAACTCTCCCATCCCTAGCAAACACCTGAGTGGATTCTAAATGTTGCCTGGAGAAAGGTCCCTTCCACGCAGTGGAGAGCAGGGAGGTCTGTCTGTTCTCAGTCTTTAGCCCACCTAGTCAGTGCAGGTCCCCCAGTGCTGTGTAGGGCTCAGCTCAAGCCTGGGGGGTGGGGCAGAAACATCTTGAAGGGGTTGGCTCAGGAGCCTCTTTGCACCCCAGGATGAGGAGGCTTGTAGGCTCTGGTGCCCTCCGGGCGCTTGGCTTGCTTCATGAAGGGTCTTGCCTCTGCAGGTCTGGGGTCCATTGCTGGTGTGCTAAGACCAGAAGAGCGTGCTTTGGTCAGGGACCCCTGGGGTCCAATAACCGAAGTCAGCTGTGACCTGGGCTTGCCGAGGTGTCCTCCTATCCTGGTTTTCAGGGCCGTTTCAGGATCTGATGGGCGGACTGGCTTGAATTTTATTCTGGTCTTAGGGATCGTTTAAATTTCCTCCTTGTGGAGAGCCATGTTTCTGGTACTCTTTATGATCATGCAGCCCAGATATTTCCTTGAGGGTTTGTGACACGGGATTTATTCACTCTTGGCTCTCTCCAGCTTGCCGAAGCCCCTGCAGGCCTTAGGTAAAGTGGGAACCCTGGAGGCACCTGCCTGATCAGGTGGGTTGATCGTGTGCTGCTTCCTCTGACCTCTCTTGGGTCCCTGGCTGGGAGGTTGGAAATACAAGCTTTGTGAGGGGGCGTGGGCGTTCCTTATGCTTGGGTCATTTCAACCGGTGATGGCTTCATTTAGCAAAGCTTTATTGAGTCTGCCAGGCCCGGAGGGGAGGGAAGGCAGCATGACTCAGGCTCGGCCCTGATGCTCAGGGAGCCCACAGTCCTACTAGGGAGGGAGCCAGGACAGGGGTCTCCCTGCTGTGGAATTGATGTGCTTCATGGAGGTGATGTCATGTTGGTTCTAGTGGGACGCAGTGGGCTTACCCTTTATGTCCGGGTAAAAGGAGGACATGCCCAGCAAGAGGGAGAAAAATGAACTAAATCTAGCACCCACTCACTGATCTTGGGAATGCAGTCAAGTCTTGGAATTCAAGTCTTCCTGTCACTAGAGGACTGGGCTTCTGCTGCAGGGGAGATGGCAAATCCTGTAGTTTCCAGATTGGAAAGGATGTAAAAGTCCAGTCCCAGCCCAAAGCCCTTCTGGACCTCCCAGCCCAAAGCCCTTCCGGACCTTCCAGCCCAAAGCCCTTCCAGACCTCCCAGCCCAAAGCCCTTCCGGACCTCCCAGCCCAAAGCCCTTTTGGGTCTCCCAGCCCAAAGCCCTTCCGGACCTCCCAGCCCAAAGTCCTTCTGGACCTTCCAGCCCAAAGCCCTTCCGGACCTCCCAGCCCAAAGCCCTTCTGGGTCTCCCAGCCCAAAGCCCTTCCGGACCTCCCAGCCCAAAGCCCTTCCGGACCTCCCAGCCCAAAGCCCTTCTGGAGCTCCCAGCCCAAAGCCCTCTGGACCTTCCAGCCCAAAGCCCTTCTGGACCTTTCAGCCCAAAGCCCTTCTGGACCTCCCAGCCCAAAGCCCTTCTGGACTTTCCAGCCCAAAGCCCTTCCGGACCTCCCAGCCCAAAGCCCTTGTGGACTTCTCAGCCCAAAGTCCTTCTGGACCTCCCAGCCCAAAGCCCTTCTGGACCTTCCAGCCCAAAGCCCTTCTGGACCTCCCAGCCCCTCTCACTCACCTGTATCCCAGGTGCTTTATACTTTTAGCAATGGCATGTTCTATAGGCTAGAGAAAAATGTTTTTAAAATCTAGATAAAAAGCTTTGACCCTGGGGCAGTGGTGGCTCATGCCTTTGATCGAGCACTCAGAGACTGAAGCAGGTCGATCTCTGAGTTCGAGGCCAGCCTGGTCTACAGAGTGAGCGTTCCAGGACACAGACCATGTCTCAAAAAAGCCAAAAAAAAAAAAAAAAAAAAGGCTTTGAGCAGTTGTATATGCCTATAATCTCAGTACTCAGGAGGTAGAGGCAGAAGGATCAGAGTTCAAGGCCAGCCTCAATTACATAGCAAATTGTAGCCAGCCTGGGCTACATGAGATTGCCTAAAAGGAAGATAAAAGAGTTTTGCACCCCTACCTGATAATTAAAGTATTACCTGCTCATTATTGGACAGCAACATGGGATATGTAATACCATTGAAGTACACACTTTGGGTGAAGAGGGGACGGGGTGTGGCCAGTGGTAGACCGCTTGCCTAGCCTGTGTAAGACCCTGGCTCAGCTCGGATGGGGGTGGGGTGAGAAAGAGTGAAAAAGAGAGAAAAGAAATGGTGAATTTCATGTCGTGCTGTGTTGTTTCTGTTTCATCTTTTTGAATAGTCTGTGCTGTATAGACGTCTTCAACACATTCTGGTGTGGGCCCCCGTGTTTTCTCTCCGCTCTCAACGTTTTTGCATCTACCATGGGGTCTTGTAGCCCCATACTTCCCCATGGAGCTAAGGGAGCCAGGGCTCCGGATCTAAGGTGACTGATTTGCCCAAACTGTCCTGGCTTTAGCATTGATAGGCCCAGATTCCCAGGCCCCTCAATCCCAAACAAGCTAGGACCACTGATATCCAGGACACTACCACAGGCATGGTGTGGTCCCAGCACCATGTACATATAGACTTGTGGGTTTGTAGAACTTGCACCAGGATGATCTTTTGTTGTTGTTGTTGATTTTCCAAAAGATGGCCTTCAGACCCTTACCGTACAAGCTGCGGAGCCTCACTCAACCTGGACCTTGTGAACCTTGGGTCCCTGGGGCCCATTGATCCCAATGGCACAGAAGCAGGGCTTCCCAGAACCCACATGTTCCTTGACTGGAGCTGTCTCTACTCTTGGCTGTCATTTTTTCCCCCTGGGCAAGGCCTGACTGCACTTGATGGGGAAGGCAGAGTTGGGACTCTGTCCAGGGCAACTGCAAGCTGTTGTCTCCATCTGTTTTCTTACTCCTTTTTTTTTTCTCTCCCCAATTCTTTTTTTAAAAAAGACAAGGTCTTATATAGCCCAGGCTGGCCCCAAACTAGATATGTAGTTGAGGATGACCTTGAACTGATTCTGCTGCCTCCTGCCTCCCTCTGTTGTTAGGATTATAGGCTGTGCTACCACACCTGGTTTTATTAAGTAACAGTGGTGGAACTCTGGGCTTCACACATGCCCGGCAAGCCTGTCATCAGCTAAGCTACATTCTCAGCCTCCTTTAAATGTTTTCAACTTTCATTTCATTTTTTTTTTTTTTTTTGGTTTTTCGAGACAAGGTTTCTCTGTGTAGCCCTGGCTGTCCTGGAACTCACTCTGTAGACCAGGCTAGCCTCGAACTCTTGAACTCAGAAATCCGCCTGCCTCTGCCTCCCAAGCGCTGGGATTAAAGGCGTGCACCACCACCGCCCGGCTCTCATTTCATATTTTAATGTATATGCATCTATATGTGTGCATGTATGTGCCGGGGAATGAGGAGGAAGAGATCATCTGAAACCTTAGAGCTGGAGTTAGATGCATGAGCCTCCTAACCTGGGTGCTGGCAACTGAGTATCCGTTCTCTGGAAGAGCTGCAAGGTAGGGCTCTTAACTTAAAGCACTGTCTCCAGCACCTTTTACTTTTTTTTTTTTTTTTTTAATTGTATGGGTGTTCTGCTGCATATACATTCGCATGCCAGCAGAGGGCATCAGATCCCTTTATAGATGGTTGTGAGCCACCATGTGGTTGCTGGGAATTGAACTCAGGACCCTGAAAGAGCATTCAGGACTCATAAGCACTGAGCCAACTCGCCAGCCCACCTTTTACTTTTTGTTGTTGTAATTTTTTTTTTTTTGAAACAGGGTTTCTTGCCGGGCGGTGGTGGTGCACGCCTTTAATCCCAGCACTTGGGAGGCAGAGGCAGGTGGATTTCTGAGTTTGAGGCCAGCCTGGTCTACAGAGTGAGTTCCAGGACAGCCAGGACTATACAGAGAAACCATGTCTCAAAAAACAAAAACAAAAAAACAAAAAAACAAAAAACAAAAAAAACAAAAAAACAAAAAAAAGAAAAAGAAAAAAGAAACAGGGTTTCTCTATGTAGCCCTGGCTGTCTTGGAACTCAATCTGTAGACCAGGCTGGCCTTTGCCTCCTTTATGCTGGGATTAAAGGCACACTCAGCTCATTTTTTTGCTTTTTTTAAGATTAATTTTTATGTATGTATGTGTGAGTGTTGAGTGCTTGAAGAGGGTGCCAGAACTCCTGCAGTTGGAGTTATAGGCCATCTTATGTGAGTACTGGGAACTGAACCCTGTCCTCTGGAAGTGCAGTCAGTGCTCTTAACCACTGAGCCATCTCTCCAGCCCCAGTTTTTAACTTTAGTTTGAGACAGTCTTGATTTATAGACCAGGATGTCCTTGAACTTATGATCTTCTTGTCTCCCGAGTACTAGGCTTATAGATGTGCAG